CCCCATGTTCAACTTCCTCCTCCCCTACCCCCTCAGTTATAGCGAACCAAATTTAACACCGAATAAGCCACTATCCAACATCAAGTTTTTCAATGTAATTTTTGGTATAGGATTATGATGGTGATGTTGATGATTTCTGGTTAAGTTATCCATGTTCCAATTCCTCCCTACCTCTCCCCTCTCCCTCCTCAGTAAGAATCAATCAGAACTAACACTAAACGAGTCCTCTTCCAAAATCAAGTTTATTCATGTTTCATTTCCAGGAGGATGATTGGGAAAACTGGGAATAACTGAATGCTACAACCAAGATTAGTATATTGTGTACAGTGAATTATACTATCATAACCATAGTATAGCAACATGAATACGGTTTGTGGGTACGTTGTGAGGATGTAGTGGTGTTCTTAATGTCCATTTATATAAAAGATCAATTTATGAGTTATCATAGATGTTTGTCGTGGTAACAGAAGTCAGTGTATTGTGTTGTGTTAAACTGCGTAACTTGATCAAGTATAGAATGTTTAGTCTGATTATGGAATAGGTAATGTTGCCCATATCTAGATCAGTTATTTTACAAATTAGCGATACACTGTACTTTTTGTGAAAAAAGTCAATATTCAATGTGATGTCTTCAAGTCTCTGTGATCAGAGAGAAATTATGGTGAAATGACTATCTTTCTGCTTTGATTAAGTTTTTTAAGTTTTTTAAGCTTTGCTTAGCCATTCCGAGGTCAAGTAAAAGTATGGGCCGAGTAAGATTTGCAGTGCATTTTGGGACTGTTTTAGGAGAAGGAATGTCCCCTTAAACAGTCCTACAATGCACTGCAATGCCAACTTGACCCACTCTTTTCCGTAACCTCAGAACGGCTTATTAGTTATGGACTCGTGTCAAACATACAATCGCAACATCTAACTCTTATCTCCTGGAAGTCATAAAACTTTTCTGAGTTCGATAAACAGAATGCATTTGTTTTGATACAAGTAACACCCATGTAAGGCATGATGAACAACAGATGTTTGTACCCAAGCTAGACCACAATGCAAATTTCTATGGGTTCCCCTTGTTTGATTTTCTATTACTATTTATTGCCTGTAATTGACATAGACGTCAGCACAGGTAGTACCGCTATTGTCACTCTCGGAGGCGCCCTTCAGATCCTCGCCAAACCACACTCTAAACGTCTGGCCCGCTGTAACAGCGAGTGGAGGATTCATCTCGGGCAAGATGAGCTCTGGATCAGATGCACTCACTCCTGGAAGACTATATTTGTAATAAGTGGCGTGCAAAATGCTCTGGGGTGGGCTTAGGACTTGATTGACGGTGTTGGTGATGATTGTATCTAAACGTGTTCCCCCTGTTCCCCAGTTGTTTCCAGCGCCGTACGCTGCAACTCTACCCGACAGATAGACGAGCTTGAAAGCCTTGATTTCACCAGTTTTTGGCACGTTAAAGGTGCCATACTGATTTCCCTTGGCAGAAAAGCACACTTGATTGGTATTGACTTTTTCCCACTCTGTGCGGAATTTCAAGGAAAAATTAATGAGCTTAAGTAACAATTTACAACAATTTAAAAAAGATTTTGAAAGAGCAAAACAACAACAACGACAAAAACAAGAACAAAACAAAAAAGATTACATATGTTGAATGTATTATAAACAAAAAATCGAACAATCTCGTACAATTCGGAATTCATAGATACTCGTGATGTTTTGAAAGTTCTCAAATTGAACTCGCCTTTACTCGTACCTATAAATTCCGAATTGTTTTCAAGATCTTGCGATTTCCTATACAAATGCTAAAGTCTTTGGCTATCATCAATATCGGAGCTTACCACAATTCTTGCCATTGAACCCAGCTGGACATTGGCAGGTGTAGGCACCTGTTTCATAATCGTGTTGGCAAGTTCCTCCGTTGACACACGGCGCATGTTCGCATTGACTCTGGGGAAAAAAACACCATTACTTTTCTCGATTGCGTGCATACAGATATTTCGAAAAGGGTTGTCGAAGCCAAAAGCGATAAGCGAAAGGACATTCCAGGGCCGAAAGGAATCGTGGGCATACAGCTAACACGAATATCGAGGCCGGCTTCGTGAACTACGAACAACACTTGATATTTTAACACCAAACTCCGTGTTATTGACAATAATAGTAATTAGAAACACCAAGTCAGCAAGCTATTCTTGGATCTTGGAATGTCCTAGAGTTATTTTAGAATAGGCAGCGTAATACATAGTCTAGTAGTAGACAAATTTATTGTTTCCTTTTGTGATACTTTAATACCCCATTCACACCAAGGCTTAAACATGTTTAAAAGTGGTTTAACTAAACAGGTTTGAAAAACTATCTACGAACACTGCACAATATTTGGTAAAATAATGCATGTAAACTATCCTTTGTCTTGCTTTGATAATATTTTACAAAGTTTCATTATATTGTAGGTTTCTAGTTTCTCAATTTTTTTCCTAATGAAAACACAGTTTAACTAAACACGTTTAGGTGCGAATGGGTTATAAGACTGTACAACTTGGTTTAACGGGCCAAATAAAATAACTCTGGAGTGATTTATATTTGGTCCATGAAACGAAGCTGTACGAATTGGTGATTTTAAAACAGTCTTAAAGTATAACGAAATAAAACAATGGAATTTGGGTTTATGACTGTGTATACGTTAACTATTCATAGTTCTGACTCCCCTTAGTTGCTGTGGCAATCTCCCACAAGCTCAACATAAATTAGCTAGAATCTCTTAGAATTTAAAACTATGTTTGCGGAAAATAAACCATGAATTCCTTCAATTGTTTCATGTCCTGAGAAAATGAAAAAAGATAATACTTTTTCAAGTGAATACTACTAGTTGTTTGTGGCACAAAAGTTTAATGCCTGCACTGGGGAAACAGCTGCAATGGTGATTGGTTTGCTATTGTATGAGTCGGTGAGTTCTCAAGTGAATTATTTCCTGCACTGGAGAAGGAAAATCGCTATTTCGTATCGCTCATTACGCCGGCCCCTTCAACCCTTTTAATTTAAACTATCTGTACACACGTATTTCAAAAAACCTCGTTCGGAGATCTGAGACTAAACCAAATTTTTGTGCTTTTATGAGTTTTCTGGCTAAAATACGAAAAATCCCCTAGTAATTTTCCCCTTGTTAAGCCCCTATTGGTAAATATTCAAGTTTTTCTCCGGTTTTCCTCCCTCCGTATTAAGCAATCGGCATCATGGGTTGAATCAAATAGTTCACTGACCAATTTCTTTCCACCATGACTAAATAACTGTAATATATATATAGTTATTCTCGTCAAGAACATGGACCTTAGTGTTGAGACTGATTCAACTAAAATGTTTTCAGTTACAGTGCGGATGAAGGTGTTTGTTTAGACCCAAACGTCTGTTTAAAAATCGTAAATTGTAAAGTCAGAGACAACTAAATCATGATAAACAATGCCGTCCGTTTTTGACGAAGCCATTTCCTCGTCTGAGACCTATCGCCAACTGCTTGCCTTTAACGATGACAACGTTCTTTAAATTTAGTTGATACCTCACCTCGATTCGATAATGATTATACTCCTCATTGTCCTGAAAGTTCATAGCTGTCGAGCTGTACTTATCGGTCGAGAGCAGCTCGCATTGGAACAGACCCTGTATCTCCCTGACCGCAAGATTAAACGACCAACATTTTCTGTTTTCGATGCAATTCCAGCTACAAGAGCTGGGGTGGCGGACGTGAGTAACGGCTGTTGGGGACACGGACAATCGCTTACCCTTCTGGAGAACAAAGATAGCGGAATTCAAGAAATCATACCGCTTCAATACTCTGTCCTTCGTTATCTCGAAACAAGTCGTTTTCAAGACGATAAATGCAACCGAAACAACGAGGACGGTGAAAAGAGACATTTTGAGAATTTTTCTGATCCGACTCCCTTGACTTTAATAATTGATGTCGCTTTTTGGCGTTCGTATATATTTATTTTAATCATTAGTGACCATATTGTATTTTTGCGGGCTAACAAACGAAGTAAAACAAAACTGAGAAATCAATCGAAATAGCCACCAGTGAGTCTACTATACTAGCTAGTACTATTGATTTTTTAAAATATGCTTTAGTTGTTCGCCTAAAACACCTGCCCGTTGTCCTCACTAACTTAAAAAAACTCGGAAATAGATTTTTGCAAAGGGAGAAGTAACTCAGTTGAAGAAAACCCCATACAGGAAAGAACCAAAAAATATCTTAAAAATTATAAGAAGATGGTGATACCAAATTGATTAAGTGTATGCTCATGTATATTAATATCTCGACTCAGGGTATTGATAGAAAGGTAAGCCCCGTTTACACTGGCGATTTTTGCTGCGATTTTTGTGGCAATTTTCGGAAATATGAAATCTTTTGTCTCATCCTTCAAAAGAGACATTCGTCTATGGAAAATCTTGGTATCCTGAAAAAAAAATTTACCAGTAGATTCTTCACCATTATTCATTATATGAACAAAATCGCAAAAAAATCGCAGCAAAAATCGCAAAAAAAAATCGCTAGTGTAAACGGGGCTGTAGAAGGCCAAAGGCTCGCGCACCTATACCCATCTATATATCTAGTGAACCATTAGCCTTCAAACGTCAACCATTTTGCCCCATAACCAAATTAAAATAAATACGATAACCAATGTTATTAGAACGAAAACCACCATTTTTTTATTTACGGAGATGTAACATTACATTGTTTGCAGATACTATATAATCTTTCTCTTATACCATGTCTAAGTCATGGAGGTTTTTATTTAGCATTCATGATTGTGGTTCTTCTATGTAACCTTACGGTCTTTTCACGCTCGAGCCATCGATTTGGACCTGATAAGTTGGCTTAGCTCTTCCTTCTGAGCAGTCCTTCCCTCCGCTCTGGCTGTCACACCGATGTGGATACCCCAGCCATCTTTCAGAGCGTTCTGGGACGACTCGATAGATCCCTCACACCAACCTCGGTACGGATGAAAAGCTTCGCCTACGACGAAGATGTTCTCTCCTGGGAATGGTCGCTTGGCCCAGTTACTGATGTCCACCATGGAATAAGGGGTACCGGGCTTTTGGAAATGCCTGCAGAGATGTTCAACATGACGATGTTACTCCAAGAAAGGTTAAAATAATGTGGACTAGGACAACGTTCGACCTGCAGCTTTTTGGCTTTGCATTCTGAAGATGAATGATTGTCAGTCATGATCTTCAGAGTGAAGAGAAACGTAAGCAGCATTTGTTTCCAGAACTACATGATTTTAAAGCGTTTTTTGATTCTCGGATTCAAACTTTGCTTCAAAGACAAATACTGCGCGTGAGCACACAACACATGCGAGTAGAGTTTCCTTGCCAGGTCTCTCTCTTCATTTGAGGGATTTTCTCTTGATTTTCCGGTTGTCCTTGCTTACACACTAAGTCCAATTCGATCTGTAAATTAGCCGTACCTGACTTATGTCAGCCCAGAGGTTGTTCAAGGATTTGATCTGTTGAGTTAGTCGTGCCCTGACTTAGATCAGCCTATGGCTTGTTTCAGGGTTCGATCTGTGAGTTAGTCGTGCCCTGACCTAGATCAACCCAGAGGTTGTTTCAGAGTTGGATAAAGTTTGGCGTTAATTACAAATGTTTCTTCGATGTCTGGTCAGGGCTACGTACTCACCTTCAGTGAGTTATAATAATTAGCGCCGATGCGTGCGACCCCAGTCATGCAAGTTCATTCTGTCAGTATTATAGACTATCTAACGGCTAAGTTACAAGAAAACTTTCCAGTAAACTCTTACCAAGCGGAATCCCAGTATTGGTATGCAGTCTCCAAGGGTGTAGGAATTTTCGTTCCGTACTTCTTTTCCAGTGCTCTGTGAACTTCAGCGTTGAGGAAGTTCTTCTTCAAGTTAGCGATGTCCGCCCATCTTCGGCTGCAAGCTCCGTCTGAGTACATGGTGTGCAAGACTCCTTCGCCATTTGTACCCTTGCCTCTGAGATAGATAAACGATTTGTCAAAGTGAAAAATAGCCAAATACTTATGTGGGAAAGTTAGTTAAGAATGTCTAAATCCGTTTTTCTCCGCCATTCTTAAATTTTACCATCGAAGATATATTATTTTGCGCATCTTGAGACACTTCTTGAGGAGAAAGAGGGCTGCGATGTCGATCGATCCGAGCCTTCCTAGATCCGCGCGCAACTCTATTTAGTCATGTTCTAAGGTACTTTACCCATGAAAAAGATTAGTTACCTGTGCGCCATGCTTATTCCAAGGCAGTTACTGTAAGAAATGAACTTCTGTCCAGGTAAGACAGGCGATCCTGCAACTCTGATCTTTTCCCACCAGGCGTTGGAATACACAGCCGCACCTTTGAATGCGGGTATAGGCTGGATGGAATCAAACTGGGGGGTGTCTTGGATTCTCTTGGCTGTTGATCCATTGATTGCTCTAAATTGTACCGGTGGTGTAGCCACAATAATCTTCCTGGAATTCACCCTTAATTTTGGTGTTATCAAGACAAAGTTGGCTCCATCTTTAAAAAGAGATCTTATTCCAGTACTGGTGAATATTTTCCCTCCCATCGCCTCGACTTTGTTTTTAAGGGTCGAAATAATCGTTGACATTCCTCCTGTCGGTCGTATGTATTTGTCGGATAGCTTCATCGACATCTCGGTGAATTCCATATACGATTTTGGAGCGATGAAATCAGTGTAGTCACCCTTATAGCCGTACAACTCCGAGAGGTATTCAGCTGCTTCTGGTATGAGGATGTTTGAGAAGTATGTATCAACGGTTGCGTAGCTGTCTACATTTGCAATGTGTTCTGGTTTGCAGGCATGACTTAGAAGTTGACTGCTGGTCATCCTGCCGAACAGAGGATGAGCGCGCAATGTTGGATAGGCCTGTTTTATGGCTTCATGATTGTTTGCCTTGACTCCTCGTGATTCAATCAAGCTTGGCTCCACGAAACTCCATTCTCTGTGGGTAATTCCGAGTTCTTTCAAGAGGTCACTATCAACAACAAAAAATTGACCTTAAAACCTTGACATTCAAATAGTGGAGAGTTTTCTCCAATTCACTTGTTTTCCTCCCTACGCAAAATTCATACCAATTCGATTATGGAAATGCCGAGGGTCACGGCTTTGTTAGCCACTCCACTGGCTATTAAGCGCCACTTTTTTTAAAACAAGGACGATTTATTAATTTTTTCAAGTTGCTTCTACTCAGAACTTAACCAATCAAAAGCAAGCAAAAACATATTTTGGAGTCGCGACGATCGCACATCCATGTCATTATTTCGTCATCATCATTACACCTGAAAACGTTAGAATTGGGATTCTTTTGTCACCTGGAACCCAGCTAAATATGACGCTAAATATATAAGCCATTCCGAGGTCGAGGGAAAACTGGGCCGAGTGGGCATCGCATAGCATTGTGGGACTGATTTATACAAGATGGCGTCTATTTTGTCCCCTAAAACAGTCCCAAAATGCACTTGAATGCCAACTGGGCCCAGTTTTTTTCCAACCTCGATCGAAATGGCTAATATACAATGTGCGCATTTTGGTATAAAGACTAAGTAGGGTTAAAGTTAATAGTTAATAAATATAATTCGATTCGAACATAGTTACATCATAATGAAGTGTAGTTTGTCAATCCTCCAAGCTCCAAGTCCTGAAATGGAAAAACATAAGACATAACTGACTTCCGTACGATATGGATTAAAAGTTATTAGAAATGGTAGAATTGATATTCCTGCTATTCTCGACTTTCACATCCCCATAATGCCTTCCGTTTTTTGGGGGTAGCCAATCAAAAAACTGTCCCAAATTGAAAGTTTTAATTGAATTTATACTATACCTGCTCTTATCTGTACAATACTGATTATCAGTTTATTCCAAGTTATTTTTGCGTGTACAGATCATGAAGAGTTTTGGTCTTACAGAAAATGTATTGACTTACGAAAAAATGTTTAAAATTTACCTCAAACGTCTTCAAGCTTCTATCTTTTTCTGTTTTTTACTTCATCATTTTATCTTTGGATACCAAACAAATTATTTTCAACATTGTCTGATCAGCCTTCAGCAAAATAAGTGGGTTTTTACCTCTGGTTACCCCCTAAAGATGAGATGTGGGGATGTGAAAGTCGAGAATTAGGCCCGGGGGGGTACTCCCCTATATTTGCTATACGGGTATGTGCCGCCCTATAGGGTATGGTTTTTCGGCTTTTGGGTTTAGGGTAGGGTATCATTTTTTGACATTTTGTCTGGGATAGGGTATCATTTTTGTCTGGAATAGGGTTAACGATTTGGTCATTTTTGTCTGGCGAATAGGCTACGCTTTCTGCCGGCACAAAAACAATAAAAACGTTTGTAAATATTGATTGCAATCTATTGAAAAACCGTCTTTTCCGTCTTAGAGTCTGGGATAGAGTGTACAATTCTAAGTTTCAGTCTGGGGTAGGGTATGTAAAATCAAAGTTTTAGGTCTGGGATAGGATCATGGTTTTGAGGTCCTGGCAGCACATCCCTACCCAAGTTGGGGTGGTAGTATACTCCCCCCCACGGGCAAGTATACCACACTTATACCATGTTATATTATACACCTGGACTGCAAGTATACCACACTAATAC